CCTACTACTTCATCTTGAGCCTTTGGGGATGCTTCCATTTCTTTGCTACATTACTTATGTGCTTGCATACTCGCTTGACTACACTTTCCACAACACTCCTTACCGTTTCAATCATACTTACTTTCTTACTTATGAATGTATATAAAATTTCAGTCTAGATTTTATGCTTATCTTCGTGTACTCAGGCTGTTTTTCGTTGCTTTTTTTTTTAAACATGCCCTCCAATGTTTAACTGAAAGGATGTAATGTAAACTAATGTTTTTTGTGGCTGGTTTGAGTGTCCTCTAGTTCTTGTGGCTCTTATCATCCACTAAGAACACGGAGTCTGTCTCCTAATTCTCTCCTGTTGTATGCCACCCCATTCAGCTCCCTCCCCCAAACAAAACAGGGTTTCTCTGTGCAGCACTGGCTGTGTTGGAATTCACTCTGTAAACCAGACCAGGCTGACCTCAAGCTTAGATATCTACCTGTCTCTGCTTCTCAAGCGCTGAGATTAAAGGCATGTGCTAACACTGCCCAGCCTCACAATTCTGTGTTACGTAGCGGCCCCACTGCTGCGGTGTCCCAGGGTGTAGGAGACAACACTCCCACAGTATTTCAAAAAGCTGGGTCTACACCCACCCACACACACACACGCTCACCATGAAAGCACAGACCTTAATGTTTATGGTTTTCCTCATCTTTCTTTCACATGATCAAATCTTACTGAATCCACTTCTACTGGTGTATCTCTGGTCTAACACTTAAGAGGGAGGAAGGGGTATGACTTTACAGAGGACAAATCCTTTGCTCCCTGGTAAACAATCACAATCAATGAATTTCTCTCTCAGACTCCAGATTCAGTTTATAACTGAGGCGAGGGGAGGCCAAGGGGACCCTAAGGAAGCCCTTCCAATCTGCAATGAGAGGTCAACTCTGTTTTCTTCTAAGCCATGTTACAGAGGAAGCAGCAGAGGCTTGTATTTCATATAGCTTACATATGAACACAGGCCCAAGGTAAAAAAGCAAAACACAAGGAAAAAAAAAAAAAAATGGAGAAAAAAAAAGACAGTCTAGCCAAAAAAAAAAAAAAAAAGTATTACAACTGAGAATATTTACATAGGAGTCTTATGTGGACAATGTTTAAATTTGAAAATTATTTTACATCTATAAATAATAAATATGCTTACAAAACTAGACTTGACATGAAGTTTACCAAAGAACAAAATATATAAAATGACAATTCTTTATTTAAAACATTGTTTTCATTAAAATTAATTCCTGCTATTTATGACAAGCCTATCCATCATCCAAAATACCCTGTGACAGTCCACACTCAAACAAGTCATAGTTGTATTTAATAATTTTTACCGGAAAGAGATTTTTACTTATGTGACACCAACTTCAAACAAATGTTCAAATATAAAATCTAAAGACTCCTTTGACCAACATCCTTAATTCTTGCTTTTAAAAAATGCACTAGTGGTTTTTTGCTCATCAAATAATACTGTAAAGATGGCAAAAATTTTAAAAATTATCTTAAAGATTGTCTCATGTGTTAAGAGAATGAGGACCTTTTAGAGAACATTGCTCAAAATTTGGGATCCTCACTGCTTCCAACCAAAACTAGAGATGCCACTAAGTCAACGGTTTTGAAAGGATTAACTAACATGAGTGACAAGTTAAGACTGAACAATGAAATTGTGTATGGCCACCTAAGAGAATAAAAAAAGCTTATTTCAAAATGTATTAAGAATGAAATTAATGCCTATGCAAAAATCACAGGGTTAAGAATACCAATAACACAATGTAAATTCCCTAGAACATTTTATTAATTCTGCATGATGCTAAACATATTAATAATTAGTTAGCTAAGAGCCTAACAAATTCTTTGTGGAATAATGGTAGACATAAAAGTAGGGGAAATATGTAGTAGATGATGATACACTAAAATAGTAAATAAAACACATTTTCAGCTGGGCACAGTAGCAACGCCTGTGAATTCAATACTTTGGGAAGCTGAGGAAGAAGGATCATGAGTTCAATGCCAGCCTGAGCTATGTGTGGAAACCCGTCTCAGAAAACCAATGTTGAGGACATAATGGAACATAGTACAGTGCTTGCTAAACACATGCAAAGCCTTGGGTTTGACTCCTAGCAACTCACACATGCATGCAAAACATAAATAAATAAACACAACACAAAGAAACAAAAGCACATCTTATACTAACTTCAGATTTTCAAACTTAAGATAATTTGGATTGAGGATGTGGCTCAGTAAAAGCCCTGGGTTTAAGAATCAGCAATTTATAAGCTAGGCAGGGTGGTGCAGATTCTCAGCATCGGGGAGGCGGAGAGGAAGGAGGGTCAGAAGTTCAAACTGATCCTCAGCTACAAAGCAAGTTGAAGACAGGCTGGGATATATATGAGACCTGGCATCAAATAAATACGTAAATAATAACTTATCATAGATTTACTTGGACCTAAGATATTATTGCTACAAAGAATTTAAATATAGGAGTTGAATATATATATATATATATATATATATATATATATATATATATATATATATACATACATCAGTAGTAGAGTCGCTGTCAAAATAAGCAATCAACTTATAACATCTATACTCAGAACTTTATCAAAGAAAATAACCATGGTACACATCCACTAATGTTGAGTTCATATTTTCAATTTCATAATAAAAACTTACTTAAATTTAATACATCATGGTTGAAAGATGAATCCAAATATCAAAACTGTTAAAATGTGAAACAATCACAGACTAAGCCTATGCTAACTTCAACTTTTTAGTATACAACCATTCTAAGAACTGTATGGCTATGTATGTATGTATTCAGTGTGTGCATGTGTGTATGGAGGTCAGAGTGCTGTTCCTCAGGAGCCATTCACTTGGGGGGTGGGTGGGGGAGGGAGTTCTAACTGGACTAGAACTTTGCCAAACAGGCCAGGCTAGTTGGCTAACCTGACTCACAGATCTGACTGTCTCTCCCCAATACTGGGAATTAGTGTGAACCACTAAGCCTTGCCTTACCTTTTTTTTTTTTTTTTTTGGTACAGGTTTTAGGGATCAAACTCAGGTACATGTTTGCAAGAGATGGGCTTTACCATCTGATGTGTTCCCTCAGACAAGTCTGGTTTTTGAGACAGGGTCTCCCAATGGAGGCAGAGTGATTCCAAAATCTTAAGTCCTTGTGTGTCAGCTCTTAAGATGCTGGGAGGCATAAGGAAATATTTCTGATAAAATGGTTCAGCATCTCAGGGCACATAAATCATTCATAACATTTTTTTTTTTTTTAAATGGGCACAGGTTTCCCATAGCCAGTTGATAGTGAGTGACAACTAAGAAAACACACCATCATCTTGGAGGAAAAAGAGGAATCACCTTGTGTGTCATAACTTATTTGTTTAAAGAGAGAATCTAATCAGGTGTCCTGCATGAATTGTTCTTATTTTGAAATTAAGAAAAAAAGACATGTCATATTACTACCATGTATCACTTTTAAGATTATATATATTCTGCTAGTCTTTTTAAAGACAAAAAGGTCCCTTCCTACCAACACCCTCCCCACTTCAGTCCCAATGTCTTGTAATAGACAAAACTAAAAAGAATTTAACATAGCTTTACATACATAGATACTTTAATTTTTCAATAAAACCAGATCTATTCTTTGTAAAGGAATTCACTGCAACTTCTATGGATATAAGAAACAGTATGTTTTATTGCATCTTATTTTTCAGGTGACTATCTCTGCTACACAATATGGATCTACTTGTTTTTAACTGCCACACACACATACTATTCCACCCTTGGGTTGTATTTTATTCACCCATTATCCCACTGCTAAGCATCCAGATTTTCGATTTATATGCATGTGTTTCCTTTCATATTTACAAGTTTCCAGAGTCTCTAATAGAAATCTGAACTAGAACTGTATGATGTTTGATCTTTTTACATTTTCAAAACTAATTCTTTGACTTCATGTTATAGACAAATAGTCTGCATTTCTTCTTTTCTTCTGTATTTTTTTTGTTTATTTATTTATTTATTTTAGATAGGGTCTTATTTTGTAGCCCAGGCTTACCTTAAGCTTGCTATGTAATCAAAGCTGGCCTTGAACTCCTCATCCTCCTGTCTTTACCTCTCAAGCAAGCACTGGGTAGGACTGTGTGCATACAACATCATATCCATCAGCATCCAAGGGCTTCAAGGTCTGAGTGTTTTTCACAATTCAGTATTCAACTCTTTTGGAATGGTGTTTATGTTGCAGTACTGTTTACACTTTAATTTTCTCCAGTAGTCAAATATTCCAGAAACGGATGACTAGATTGTTCTGACAAAAACACCAAGTTCACATATTTCCACAGCTCTGTATCTGGGCGCTCTATAGCCTGTTTACCCACCTAATAAGGCTCCTATACCATATACTTTTAAGCGGCTATAAATTTACCATACATTATAAACAGTGTTAGTCTAAGTATTAACTGGGTTTTGTTTTGTGAGAGGGTCTTATCTTACTACATAGCCCAGGCTGACCTCAAACTCTAGATCCTTCTGCCCTGATCTCCAGGGTGTAGGGTACAATATGTTCATACTATTCTTTTTCTAAAAGCATCTCCACAGACTTTTAGTTACTGAGATACAGTCTCACTATGTAGAGCATGCTGGCCTCAATCTTGTGGCAAGCCTCCTGTCATCCAGATGCTGGGGTTACAAGCAAGCATCACCATGCCTGGTTCTCACTTCTATTTCATGGGAATTTTAGAATCACTTTATAAATATTATAGAAAAGGGTTATGAGATTATGTGAAACTGTTATTAATTACAGACTTTCAGAATTGAAAATTTTATGATGCTGCATTTATCCATATACACATCTGTCTACATTTGCTGGTAAGCTCCGACAGTTTTATTACTTTTCCAAAGAGATCTTGTTTTCGCACTTATATCAGGTATTTCAAGTAAATAAGGCATTGCATGTATAAGAGACATTGTCTCAGTACACTGAGCATTTCTCCACTGTATGACCCCTCTTATGTATAGAAAGGGATGCTCTTTGAGAAAAGGTCTTCCCACATTCATTACATTCAAAGGGCTTCTCCCCAGTGTGACTTCTCATATGTATAACAAGTAATGAGCACTGAGAGAAGGCTTTTCCACACTTACTGCATTCATAAGGCTTCTCCCCTGTGTGACTTCTCACATGAAGAGTAAGGGATGAGAATCGAGAAAAGGCTTTACTGCACTCATTACATTTAAATGGTTTCTCTCCAGTATGAATTTTTTCATGTTCAAGGAGATTTTGCCTCTGACTAAAGGCTCTTCCACACTGACTACAATGATAAGGCTTCTCTCCAGTATGAATTTTCTCATGCTCAGTAAGATTTGATTTCTGGCTAAAGGCTTTCCCACATTTAGTACATGCATAGGGTTTCTCACCAGTATGAATTCGCTGATGTCTAATGAGGTTTGACATCTGAATAAAAGCCTACCCGAATTCACTACATTCATAAGGTTTCTCGCCAGTATGAATTTTCTGATGTGTAATAAGATTTTCTTTCCGGCTGAAGACTTTCCCACACTCGTGACACTCATAGGGTTTCTCAGCAGTATGATTTCGCATATGAACAGTAAGGGAAGAACTTTGTGAGAAGGCTTTTCCACACTCGCTACATACATAAGGCTTCTCACCTGTATGGCTTCTCATATGTATAATAAATACTGAGCATTGAGAGAAGACTTTTCCACATTTATTACATTTATAGGGCTTTTCCCCTGTGTGACTTCTCATATGCAAAGTAACAGATGACATCCGAGAGAAAGCTCTACCGCATTCATTACATGCATAAGGCTTCTCTCCAGTGTGAATTTTCTCATGCTCAATAAGATTTTGCTTCTGGCTGAAGGATTTCCCACATTCCTTACATTCATAGGGTTTTTCACCAGTGTGAATCCTCTCATGTTCAGTGAGATTTGATTTCTGACTGAAGGCTTTCCAACAATCCTTACATGCATAAGGTTTCTCCCCAGTATGAATTCTTTGGTGTCTAATGAGGTTAGACATTTGAATGAAAGCTTTTCCACATTCATTACACATATATGGTTTTTCCCCAGTATGGATTTTCTGATGTGTAATGAGATTTTCCTTCCTGCTAAAGGACTTCCCACACTCTTTACATCCATAGGGTTTTTCTCCAGCATGATTTCTCTCATGTCTGAGGAGGTCATATTTATGAATGAAGTCTTGTCCACACTGATTACATTTAAAGGGAGCTGTGGCATAGGGTGAGCGATGGTAAAATGGTATACCATACTCAACACAGTCAAAGTTTTTGTCTCTTACACAGCCTTTCTTATAACTAAGTATATCTAAATTTTGTTCCAAACACTTACTAAGTGAGTTACAATCATAGAGGCTTTGTCTTGAAGTAACAACATCTGAGCTCAGAGGAAAGATTTCTGCAACCTTTTTAAAGTCAATGACATTTTCCTTAATCAGAGCTTTCTTGGAGATGGGTGTGACTTTCCTCACAAGTGTTTCCTGTTGTTTCTCCATCTGTTCATCAACTTCCCAAACTTCTAAAATGGAGGACCAAAAATCATTACTTGTTAAATTTTCTAATCACTTAACTATAACAATTTAGAAATTTGCTAATGTGGTGTTGAATCTTTACAGTTGGCATTAGCCAACAAGAAAGAAACTACAATGAAAATGTCTCCAAGTTCTTAAAGATTAAGAAGTTAACTCCTTCAGACAATATCACGGGAAAACAACAACCTGGGATTTGTAGATATAAGTAGCACTGATGGATTTAAAAACAAACAAAACCACTATCCTTGTATATAATGAAGAAATCAACAAAACAAGTGGAATTAAAACGAGGGAAAACACAAAGGACTAGATAAGGGGTCAAGTAGCAACAAGATAAAATTAGTATTTGCAATTAAATACAGTGGGCTGACTAAATATGTATACTTCTCTTCCTTTCCCAAAAGAATAAAGGGTCAAACCTTAAAGGCAAAAGAAATAGAAAAGGATACATAACAGACAAGAGATTTCAACACGATCATACAAGAGGAACAGTATGCAGAGGACTGTTAGCTGGAGAGTACATGTAAGATGCTACAGCAAAAGCATCCTGAAGATGAAATGATAAGACACATGAAGAATCAAAAGATCCATGAATCATCAACTAAAACCTGCTGGAACCAATCAATATAACAGGTGGCAGGACACAAGGTTAATATGCAAAACTGAATTGCTTATCAGGAATGAACAAACAGAATTTGGAATTAAGAATATATCACTATTTATAATAGTACTCCTCAAAACAAAATAAATACAGATTTAATAACATATGTACAAGATCTATAGTGGGAAAACCACAAAGCTCTTACTAAAATCAAAGAATAAATGGCTATTGTATGCTGATAGACAGGAAGACCCAACATTCAGCATGTTAGTTCTTAATTTGATTCATAGGTTCAAAACAACCTCATTGTGCACTTTACTCTGTGTACAGAGACAAACTGATTCTAAAGTTCACACGGAATACCCAGAATAGAGAACACAGCATTAAAGGAGAAAAACAATGGGATGGATACCTAGAAGAGACAAACAGAACAAGCGAACAGAACAAAGAACACAGAAAACAGACTCAAATAAATATCGCCAATTAATCTTCTACAAAGAAGCAAAGGTAATACGGCAGACAGCCTTTCAAAAAACAGACATCTGCATCAAACAAATCAGTCTGCATGCAAACCTTACATTCTTCACAGAAAGTAACTCAAACTATAGAACTAAGTGTAAAGTACAAAACTGTACTAGTAGAAGACAACATAGGACAAAGTAAGGTTATGGTGGTGGGAAGGAAAGGGGGTGGGGTGGGGTGACAAGAGCAAAGGTTTGATCAATGAAAAAGAGGCTGAACTTGATTAAAATTTAAAAACTTCTACTTTACAGAAGACACAGTCAAGCAAGTGAGAAGATGAGCCACAGACAGTAAGTACTTGTAGAAGAAACACCTGAGGAAAGATTACGACACTAAAAAGAAAAACAAAACCTTGCCAGGGGAGGGGATGAGAGATGAGAAACTGAGGGAAGGGATGGTCAAGTTGGAAGAGGGATGGAGAGAAATAAAAGATTATCTTGATAGAGGGAGCCACCATGGGGTTAGGGAGAAACCGGGTGCTAGACAAACTCCCTGGGATCCAGAAGAATGATCCCAGCTAAGACTCCTAGCAACAGTGGAGAGGGTGGCTGGACTGGCCTTCCTCTGTAACCAGACTGGTGAATACCCCAACTGCCACCTTAGAGCCTTCATCCAGTAACTGATGGAACCAGATGCAGAGATCCACAACCAAGCACTAGGCCAAGCTCTGGGAATCCAGCTGAAGAGAGGGAGGAGGGAACACATGAGCAAGGGAGGCTAATATCATGGAGGGGAAATCTACAGAGACAGCTGAACCAAACTTAGGAATTCAACCGACAGCCAGGAGCCCCCATGGGCCTGAACTAGGCCCTCTGCATGTAAGAGGCAATTGTGTAGTTGGATCTATCTGAGGGGCCCCTGACCATAGGACCAGTATCTATCCCTGGTACATGAGCTAGTTTGTTGGAGCCCATTCCCTAGGGTGGGACACCATATTAACCTTAATGGGGGGAGGGGGGGTCCTGCCTCAACTTAACTGGCCAAGCTTTATAGACACTCCACAGGAGCCCTTACCCTGCGGGAGGAGTGGATAGGGATGGGCAGAGGAGGGATGGGAAGAGGGTTGAGAGGGAAAACTATGGTTGGAATGCAAAATAAAATTAAAGAAAAAAAGGACAAGGTCACTAAGCATATGCAATCATGTTCAACACTGTATGTCATCAGGGAGGTTCCTTTCCTGCAAATTAAAACACCAAAGACATACCACCAACAGCTAGTAGAGTATCTAACTCTTAAATGGACACCTCGAGGGCTGACAAGGATGTACAACAGGGACTCTCAGTCTCTGCTGCTGGGAGTGCAAGATGCTACATCCACTGTAAAGATAATCTGGAAGTTTCTTGCAAGATTAAATTCATTCTTACATAAATTTTTACTACATTTTATTTACTTATTTATTTGAGGGAGGGTCATGTGTGTAATACATGTGGAAGTCAGATGACAATTTGCAGGAGTCAGTTTTTTATTTCCACAACATGGATCCTAGGATTGGACCCAGGCTGCCAGGCTTGGAAGGCAAGGGCCTTAACCCTCTGAGCCATCTTGCTAGGCAAAAAAATTAGATAATATTTTTAGCTATGATTCAGTAACCATACTCCTTGGTATTTGCCCAGTGAGTTCAAAAATCTAAGTTGTATTATTATTATTATTATTATTATTATTATATTTATTAATAAAAATAGGCTAAAACTGGCACTAAAGAGATTTTAAAATCTGACTAGGGAGCAATTAGACCACCTGAGACAGACAATACCAATCTGCTCATGTATAATAACATCTCTTCCAACCAAAAGGTATTTTTCCATCTTACAAAGGATGAGGCAGTTCAAACTTCCTAAACACAACTGCATTTAGGGCTCACATGTGATTTACAGAATTGCCACCCACATTATGAACATTAGATTCAGAACTTAACGAGATTACATTTTTCCCTTAGGAGAGTAAAACAGGCAGCAAGCACTCAACTGGAAAGCATTCCTTCAGTTCAACCACAGGTACTTGATCATATTTGGAGGACGCCCCCCCCCCCGCCCTCAGTAGCTCACTCCTAAAGACGTGACTCACTCCTAGAAAAGTATAAAGCAGTCTCTTTAGTCCCCCAAATTCTATGAGCCATTCAATATCCTCACACAGATTCTTAAAGTAGCAGCTAGTACACTTTCTTTGCTATAACTGAATTTGACTACACTACCATTTAACAACAATCTATATAAGAAAATGGCTGAGTCTTTACAACCCAGCAAGAGAAGACTGATTTCTAGAGAAAGTGAGCCAATGAGACTCTAGACTAAGAAGCAAGCAGATACAGAAGGAGTCATGTTTATATACTGAATTATGAGACCTCCTACCCTTTTTATTGCTTAGTGTTCTAGCAATTGTGCCTCCAGGTAGGACATGAGAAAGTGGAAAAGTAAAAGACTTACAGACACTGGTATTTGGGACACTGGACAAAGCTTTCCAGTACAGTCTAGCACTGGAAAAAGCATAAAAATCTGTATTACCTTAAATTACTTTTTTATAATTTCCCTAAAAGAGGGGGAAAGATAAGGTTATTCACCATGGTTTTCTAACAGCAGGCGCTATCAACTCATCCCGTGGTTTTCCACACCTCTGGAGTGCCATCAACTGTGGGTCACTTCAAATTCAGACCTGCTTTAAGCCTGAATTTCAGAGTGTCAAGGGGGAGGAACAGGGAAGAGAACATAAAGAAGATAGGAAGTTGGGGTCAGGAGGATGCATAAGCTGATGGCTCATGCCAGCAAGTTCACTGAGCAACAGGGCATCTTAAATACTGTTTGCAGGGGAAATGGGACAAAGCCAGCAAAGCTATCATACAGTAGGAAGAAGTCTGCAGGACGCTAGTCAAGGTACGATGCACAAGAGAACACAGGATATTTCAAGTGTGTCACAGACCAAGCACAAAGTGGCCTTGGGGTTGATATTCACAGGAAGTCTGTTCCCAGGAACTGAAACCCTGACTCCCGTAAGGTCCTGGTCCCAGCCTCTGCCCCAGCTCTTGTCAAGTGTGCCCGTGAGGACACAGAAACTAATGCTCCCTTTGTCCTTTCGACAGGGCCATTGGAGAATTTTGATTGGCCTGACCTCAACATTGCAGGGAATGTTGAGAAGGGGAGTCATGCAAAAAGCATTTTATAAAACAAGAAGGAATAAACGATGAGTGGGAAGTGAAGAAAAATCAGAGTGTGGTGAAGAGTAGAGAAAGCTACTTCCAACTGCTTTGGCGTCAATGTGGCTGTGTTTCCCTATCTCACTGTGATGTATTAAACACCTGTCTCCCCTCTACCCTCCAAACACAAAGAACAGGATAATAAATGTATCTTCAATGAACCTTTAACTCCAGAATAAGGAAAGAACAGAAAATGGGTTGGTCACAGAAGAGACGAAGCCCAGAGGCCAAGACTTACTTCTACTTTTGGATGAGATATATATATGGGGCAAGAGAGTCCTGTAAAACAGATGTGTTTTGCAACTCTGAGATCCAGCTGTGTTGACACTGGTAGAAGGATCCCAGCAGGTTTCCCTTGGTCCTCACGAGGGCATTAATGAGTAAGCAGATGGAAATAAACCTCATTCTAGTATAATAGACTACTGGCATAGGAGGGCGGGAGGTACCCTGAACCTGAAGCATGGAAATGATGACCTCTTCAGCTTGGGACAATGGATAACCCAACTTCCAACCTGATGGGCATGGCCAGTGTGAGCCACCAAGGTTTCCGATTAGCTCAGACATTTCCTTTCTTTTTGTAGTGTGTCCACGGGGAAATACCTCCATTTAAGGATGAACAATGGCAATCAAAAGAGGACTGCTATCAAACCTGTATAATTAATAACAGCATAAAAAGCAAAACCGCGAATCTTTGGGCAGGGGAGCTGTTTGGTGGTAGATACTTGCTTGGGGGGGGGTTGATTTGTAACAATGCAGGGACAAAGGGAGGAAAGAATCACAAGTCAACAGGAAATACTGATCATAGTAGGCAACATTCCTAAAGCTTTAAAGGAAATATAACACAGTGGTCTCACATGTAAACCCTGACTTACTCGTGTGGGCAAACAGATCAAGTGATGTATGAGGAGAAGCAATGAGGCTTCTTTGCCTAAAGATACTTCAAAGCGGAAAATAACACACAACTGCCTAAGTTCACAGAAATTACCCACAACAAAACTTTAGGAAAGAAAGTATGGCTTAGGAATTTTAGATACAGCCAATCTTCTCAAATGTAATGATTTAGAAAGGTATTTTTTTTATATTCTTATTTTTTAATGTGCATTGGAGTGAATGTAGGTACCCAAGAAACTAGAGCAAGTGCTGCTAACTGCTGAGTCATTTTTCTGACCCCAAAGGGATTTTCTTACATACAAAATAAATTATGGGCTGGGGATGAGGCTCAGTTGGTAGAGTGCACAGAATGCACAAGCCCTGGCTTTGATGTCCAGCATCACATAAACACAGCACTTGAATGAGAAAGGCAGAAAGATCAGAACTTCAAGGGATTTCAAGAATGGGGGCTCTCTAGATAGCCAGACTTAAAACAAAGAAACCAAAAAACCATCCAAACAAAACAAACACACAAACAAAAACCCATTATATTCGAAGCTCCACGTATGTAGACTCTGTTTTGTGCAGTTACATGCCCATGCCCAAACAGTATTTTATCGTTACTGCCACTACTATAATGGCCATCCTTCATTCATACCCCCGTAGTTGTGAAACATTCATGGAGGCAACCCCTCACTGAACAACTGTCACGTGGCTTTCCCACTTACTCACCTGGACAGTGTCTCCAGAACATTTCTTCCTCCATCACCCATGGTTCCTCTTCTTGCTCCAACCTGAAGATCACATCTGGTTTGGTGGCTTGACAACCTATTACAGGCAACAGGAAAGAACTAGCATGTTAATGCTGGAGACAATCAGACAGCTCTGGAGCTGAGTCCTGGGGTCTTGAGGACTTAGGAAGGAGGAGAATCAAGGAACTTGCACAATGACAACTCATTCGTATCTACCTTCCAGGCTGGGACACTAATCATGAAGGGAGGAGAGGCTCACCTGGCAAACTGCAGTCTCCTCACACAGGCAATGAGGGATGCTATGGTAACAGAAAGCTCCCCTTACCTACTGTTACTAGGTTGCTGTAGGTCTCTAGCATCACATCTCGGTACAAACTCCTCTGGGCAGGCTTCATTTGCTGCCATTCCTCCTGGCTGAGGTCCACAGCCACATCCTTGAATGTCACAGTTTTCTATAAAAACACAATGCAAATTAATCTAAAGTCATTAAAATTAGGGCCTGTGATCAAAATAAGTAGCATTCATTTAGCTAGTAACCTGGGATCAAAACCTGGTTAAAAAAAATTGTCTTTGAAGTCTTCATATTTACCAAGTTTCGCAGTGTAAAGAGGGAAAACACGACAGTGAAAAGACGCTGTAAGAGTTTGTGAACCATTGAGTCAGCACCCATTCATCCTTGATTACTAGCTGACGGCAGTGGTCACTGACTTTCGACTGAGACAGGGATGAAACAGATGGACATGAGCCATGAGTAAGCAACTCAGACCTGCAGGTAGTTAGGTCTCCCATTTAGTGGGGAAGGGAATAGGACAGAGTGAAGGGCAAGAGAAAGGAAAGAAGGAAGAGACGGCATGAATATTTGAAAAGGTAAAGTTTAAAATTCCTACTGGTCAGCTGGGCGTTGGGATTAAGTGCACACTTAATCCCAGCACTCGGGAGGCAGAGGCAGGCAGATCTCTGTGAGTTTGAGGGCAGCCTGGTCTACAGAGCGAGTTCCAGGACAGCCTCCAAAACAACACAGAGAAACCCTGTCTCAAAAGCAAAAACAAAACAAAAAAATTCCTACTGGTCTACTTATCAAGTTCCTGGACAGCCAGAGCTACTTATCAAACCCCCTTTCCAAAAAGACAAAAGAAAAAGAAAAGAAAAAAGGTAAACCAACATAAAAATGGGCAATGGCTCTAAATAGGTACTTCTTTGAAAACATACACAAATGGCCAAAAAGCCATGTTATATGTTGACTATTGCCTGGCATTAAGTCTATGCAAATCAAAATCACAATGGGGCATCCTTCATCTACAGCGGGACGGCTATAATCAAAAGAACAAATGACAGGGGTTGATGAGGATAAAGAGAAACTACAGCCCTCGTGAACTGCAGGGAGAATGTAAAAATGGTCCAAGTACTTTGAATAATAAAGGAACGATCCCTAAAAAGTTTAAAATAAATATGACTCGGAAATTCAATTCCTAGACACAAACATAAGAAAGCCAAAAATATGTCCATGTAAAAACTTGTACTCCAAAATTCTTAGCAGGATTATGCACAATAGTCCAAATGTGAAAGGAGCCAAGCCTGGTGGCATGTGTCTACAATCCCAGCACTTATGAAGCTAGCAGGAGAGCCCAGTCGGGACTACATAGTGAGACCTTATCTCTAAAACTAATATGGAAATGACTCAAATGTCTATTAGATGCCATGTGGTATATACACACAATAGAGTACTAGGAACTTTTATTGGGAATGAGTGTGTGTATGTGTGTGTGTGTGTGTGTTGTATACACATGTGTTCATATCTATGTGGGCATACATATATGTGCATATATATGGAGGCCAAGGTGACATGTGGTATCTCTTCAATTTCTCTCCACTTTATTTAGGCAGGGTCTGTAGCTGAATGCAGAGCTTACGGATTTCAGCTAGTCTAGCTAGCCAACTTGCGCCTGGGATGCCTTATCTCTGTTCCCGTACAGGTGGCCACCATGTCTGCCTAGCTATTACACAAGTTTTAGCAATCTGAACGTTGGTTCTCAGGTTTACAGGGCAACTTTATTCATTGAGCTGTCTCCTAGGACCTATTCATATAGAACTTAAAAAAAAAAAAAAAAAAAAAAAACTGAAGTACTATGGACTATGAAGACGGCTCAGACAGTAAGCATGAGGAAGCTAGTTTGGATCCTCAGAGCCCATGTGTAAATCCAGGCACAGCCCCTACCAGTAACCCCGAATTGAGAAGCACAAAGGAAGAGCCCCTGGGGCTTGCTGGCCAGGCAGACTAGTTCAACTGGAGAGCTCCAGCCTTAGTGAGAGACCCTGACTCAAAGATAAGGTGGGAGGAGGAGCATGGAGGAGACACACCCCTTTAATAAAAGGCACTCATTAAGGCACACACAAAACGAACCAATGATATGGAGAGGCCAAATGGCAAAACTGCACTTCTTTACTCAGGGGCACCCCAGAGTAGGGGCACTAGAGTCAAATTGTGAAGGTTTGAACCCTGAGTTTATTACACACTGGTTCCTGGTTGTAGAGGCTTCTTAACCCTGTTTTCACTTCTTTATCTATCAAAATTAAAACAACACGTGTCACAACCTTCTGATGGCTACATGGATTAAGCTACACAGAGCTTATTGCAGAATACCCTGGAACACAATAGTCACAAAGCTATCAAACATAGTACTGAAGAGGATTCTTTTTTTTTTTTTTTTAAGATTTATTCCTGTGTTCTTTTGTTTGTTTGTTTGTTTGTTTTTTATGTGTATGAGTGCTCTGTCTCCATGCACACCAGAAGAAGGAATGTGCAGCCCATTACAGATGGTTGTGAGTCACCATGTGGTTGCTGGGAATTGAACTCAGGACCTCTGGAAGAGCCTTCAAGTGCTCTTAACCACTGAGCCATCTCTCCAGCCCCCTGAAGAGGATTCTTATAACTGGTATATAATCTATTCATACACAGTTAAGAGCTGCCATGAACAACATCTATATCCTATTTTATAGTGAGTTTGAAACTGGTCATTGGTCATTAATTGGAAATTACATAAAAACTGCTGCTACTAAATTGTCTTGTTTGTTTTGTTCTGTTTTTCTACGTACCCCTGGCTGTCCTGGAACTTGCTCTGTAGACCAGGCTGGCTTCAAACTCAGAGATCTGCCTGCCTCTCCCTTCCAAATGCTAAATTAAAGGTGTGTGCCACTGCCTGGCCTAAACCATCATTTTCTAAGTATTTGTTGGCCACCTATATTTCCTCTAATTCTTCTTCACGTTCTTTAATTTTTTTATTTTCTTAATTACTGATTTTTGTGAATCAGTGTTCCTGGCATATGTGTATAAATACATGAATATACATAGATATTAAAGAACATTCCTAGCTTTGCCTTCTCATAACAAGTATGGAGGTTTCACTGAAGAAGTAAATTGTGAACCCATATCCGGCAATCTTCTCCTCTATCATGTAGGTTACACTAAGTATTGAACAGAATCAGAGTATTGGTATCCCAACCTCTGACATTCTCATACTATCCCCATTTTAGATTATAGAACTGAGTCACAAAGAACTTAAGCGACGTCTCTTCCATTGTCATGTACTTTATAATCACCGCTCAAAATTTGAACTTAAGTCTGTTTAGGGCTAGAGACACACTATGCCAACAGAAAAAAAATCTCATGAGCCTTTAGATCAGCGGTTTTCAACCTGTGAGCCATGACCCTTTTGGGGGTTGAACAGCCCATTCCAGGGGTCACCTAAGACCATCCGAAAACACATATATTTACATTATAATTCATAACAGTTGCAAAATTACATTTATGAAGTAGCAACAAAAATAATTTTATGTGTTGGGGTCACCACAACATGAGGAACTGTATTAAAGGGTCACGGCCTTAGGAAGGTTGAGAACCACTGGTGTAGATCATATAGCAAAAAGAGTTTGTGTCAGCTTCATGATAATGAGAGCTGAAGAAAAAGGCAGCCAAGAAAAACGTTCAAAATACAGGATGAACAACATCAAACAGAAACAGAAACAATCTAGAGTGGAAGTAAACAGATAACACTGTAAGACAAGAACACTGCACTGAGCCGGTGAGATGGCTCAGCGGGTAAAGGCACTTGCCACCAACCCTGATGATCTGAGTTCAATCCCCGAGACACACATGAAGGGAGAGGGCTCCAACAAGTTGTCCTCTGACCTCCATCCACACTTACACAACGGCATTCATATTGCTGCCCCTACCCCAAAATAAAAACATTGTAATAAAAATTGTTTTTAAAAAAGGATTCTGGCAGGGTATGGTGGCACATGCTTTTAACCCTAGCACTCAAGCAGCGGAGGAAGGAGGGACACTGAGAAGTTTGAGGCCAGTCTCCGGAGGCGCCAAGGCCACACAGTGAAACGCTACCTCAAACACAAACAAAGCAAAGCTGGGAGGCTACAGACAACAGAACTGCAAGGGTCCCACATCTGACCTACCTGACTTGGTTAACTTGCTATCAAAAGCTTTCACTGAAAAACAAACAAAAACCACAAGGAGGAGTATTCCAAAGACACATGCATGTTCCACATATTAGGCCAAGACTAATTTATAAAAATTGAGCTTAAAATAGCAAAAATCATAGAACTTTTTTTTTTTTTTTTTTTTTTTTTTTTTTGTGGTTCTAGTGTCCTTTCCTTAGTTCCCCTCCCCCTACAGAAACTACAGTTATGGAGTGGACTTTTCGTGTTTGCTTTGGCTCTCTGGGTAATATTTGACTGAGCTCAACCTGACTACCTCTGCTGCACTTACTTTTTCACAGCCTACTTCCTTTCCCCCGCTTTTATTTTTTTCATCTGTATTTTTATTCACTTACTTTCATTCATTTCCTTTTTCTTTTACCCAAAAGGGTTGCATTGCAAAACAATGCAAGGAAAAATTATGTTTAGAACTTACAAAAGAGCCGGTCACGACCTCTTCCTCCTGGCGACGTGCAGAGTCCTGGGAACACCAGGCTGAGGAAAGAGAAGCAAAACAGATTTGCTCATTCAGACACAGGAATGGGGGGAGCTTTATGAACAGATGTTCTAACATCTTTTAGAAACTTGATCCTCGGCACCAGGAGAAATGTTAAGTACCACATCAATCTCCACAGATTCCAAAATGTATGCAGAGAACTAAGCTTATACATGCAGTCTGAAATTTTGGGGAGCTTAATAAATTGTCCAATAACCCCACTAGTTACATAGTATCAAAGTATATACATTCTTTCTTTAAGATGGGATGTGAATTAAAGAAAATGTAAAAATTTAATAAATCAAAATTGAGCAATGTATAGACGTTATTCAGAAAAATGGCAATGAATATCCAGATAAAAATGTTCAAGTGGCTGTTGCTGAGAAGAACAGGGATATAACGGATGAAACAGGAAATGAAATGCTTACTTCTAGTTTATGTGGGTTTTTTGTTTTTGTTTTTTCCAGACAGGGTTTCTCTTTGGCTTTGGAGGCTGTCCTGGAACTCGGCTCTTGTAGACCAGGCTGGTCTCAAACTCAGAGATCCGCCAGCCTGTGCCTTCCAAATACTGGGTTTAAAAGTGTGTATCACCACCTCCCAGCTTATAACACCACTTTTTAAGTATTCTAAGACGATGCAGTAAGATGGCTTTGGCAGATGAAGGTACCTGCCTCAAGACTGACAGACAACCTGAGTTCCACCCCAATGGGAGAACCAATACCTGCCAGTTGTCCTCTGCCCTTCCCGACACACAAGCACATGCATAGATGCAAAAACACAAAATAAACATAAAAATTAAAAAAAAAAAAATCAGTTGAACACATCTATCTTATATGATCAAGTTTTCCAAGCTTTCACACTTTCCCTGAAAATGCAGGTCTCCAAAGGAACCCACACTACTCTTGTCTGCCACCTCACCTCTTCCCCGAGTCATCTGGCTCAACTGCTCCATGTTGCACAGCTGTCGCTGGTATTTCAAAGTTGAGATGTCATGTGAGTCTTGCCAGCTCTGGTCAAGACGGTCTGCAGGTGCAGAGTCCACTGCTGCCCAGGACTCTGGAGCTTCTGGTATGGGTCTCAGGTCAGAAGGTCTCCTCCCACGGTAAACATTTGTTCTCAGGCTTCATGCTCACACCACAGAACTGTCTCAGTGTGGGGGAGGGAAGACCTGCAAATGGAAATCAAATTTGCCTCATGCATTCTGACAGGTTCTTAGTCATAACCAGCCTCAGAGACAGCCCCTAGGGGTCAATACTTTCCAGGAGATTACTGTTGTTTAGAACATTACATTTTCAGACAAAGTGATACAAACCAAGAGATAACTAATACTGCCCCCAAAACCCCACTTATTTCCTGGTTTGCCACTCAAACTTTCTAGAGTCACTGGCTAGAGATACTAGATTAACAACCAGACAGGTTCCGTGTGGGCGCCCATAAAGATGGCTGCACTCCATCTTGGCACAAGGACGGAGAGTTCAAAGCTGTCCTCAGCAAGTCATGAGACCTAAAGGTCAAAGGTGTGGTGGCTCCAGTAGGATATTTGTCTGTCTTAGTCTAAATAACGGACCTGAATCTGAGGTGTGGCTACGACCGACCTCAAGGCTAGGGAAGAAGTTGGGGCTAAGGTGTGGGTACTGAACCCTTAGAATAAGTGAGGAAGAAAAGTCTGTTTGTTCCGTATCCATGATACTTTTTTGTTAAGTATACACAGACAAGAAACAAACCAAGCCAGTGGGGGGGTGTAAACAATAACTATGGATTACGATAAATACAACAGAATTAAACTCACCTAGTAACAGACAAGCTGGATAAATGAGTTAAAAGGCTCGGCTGACAATGCTCTACATAAAAGGCAAGGCTTTGGGATCCAAAGCTCCCGACAAATGCCATTTTTAAAAAAGAGAGGTAGTGTGAAGTCTCAAGAACACTTGCACTAAAAGCTAACTCCCAGAATTAAGACGGGTGTGTCTTAAAGTGGCAAACCGTTATTTTGGTAACACTGTCCCCTCTTCAAACTGGAAGTGGAGTGCAAGCTTACCCACTATGGAATATGGACACATTTGGAAGCCGGAGATTTTTAGAGCCCTCACACGATCCAGTAATCCACGGTGGAACCCATTCTTTTAACAAGAGCCCCAGAAAAGACAAATGAAGAAGGGTAGATTTGAATGTATCCTACGGCTCTGGAATTCAATGAAATGCAGCTAGGATCAGGTAAATGGAGTGAACTTGCTAATGACCTGAATTGGAAAATGAATCCCAACTGACGTTTGCTAGTGTGCTTAGGGATACTTTTTTTTTTTTTTTAAAGACATATTAAACTAATTTCAGGACTAGGAATGTGGCTCAGAGTCTTTGCCTGGCATGACTGAAGCACTAGGTTTAACCCCTAACACTGCAAAATTAAGCAAATAATAAATAAAACGAGCCATGCAAGTCAGTAGATAATATTGAACTTAGAAAGTTATAAAAAGGAAAACTGAAAAGTTAGAGAACAAAGTGGTGGGGCGGGGTTAAGACCAAGACGGAAAGGCCAATGAAGAAAGAGGAATCCTTGGGGGGGGGGGGGGGAATACAGAATTCTTTTCTTAGTTAGTTACGCCAAATGCTACAAACCCGAGAGAGCCCAGAACCAGCACACGGTGCAGTTACACAACGCTACACAACCCTCGCTCACACTCGCCACGCCCTTTAGCCACTCACACAGCACCAAACGTCACCGTAACACGACAGCCACACTCCCACGAGCACGCTCCCTCAGAAGTCACCGGAGTCCCACACGCACTAACTCTCACCGGCTTTCCGCTTGCAACCCCGAGCACCCGCCAGGGAGGTCGGCTGCCGGGCGGCGCTCCGCACCGCTGCTACTCGGGCCGCTCCGAGCCCCGCGAGAGCCCGCGCCCAGCCGGCAGCCTAGGGCCGGCGCAAACCGGCTCGCTCGCTCCCCGCGGAGGGGTCCCGGCGGCGCCACGAGCCAGACACCTCAGACACGCGACGTGCAGGGGACCCACAGACGGGTCCATAGACCGGAGCAGCCGCGGCCGCGCGCGCCCGTTAGGTCCCAGCGCACAGGTGCTCCCGGCAGGCCCCGCGGCCAGCCCAACTTCCGGTGAGCCGGCCGAGGGGGGCGCCCGGGTGGCTGAGCCCATTCCCGCCGCCAGATGGTGACGCGGGCGGCCCGGCCGCGCTGGACGTGAGCAGCTCCGGGAGCAGCCGGAGGAGGCGCTGGGGGGCCCTTGGTGGCTGTGCCTTTTGTGGACTACATTTCCCAGAAAGCCCAGCGGCCGAGCACGCCTCTCGCAGGAACTCGGGCGTTTCTACTGGCCTGGCGGGACCGTTAGATCGGCCAGGCAAAGAGCTTGTACGGAGGGATGCTGTTCGGTGCTACAGCTTCCGACCTCGGTCGACTGGAAGGGCGTCGGGTGAGGACGTGAAACGTGGCTTACAAGACTGTGCCTCAATGTGTGTGGCATCTTGTCCATGGGACTCCTGTCACTGGTCAGGTGGTGACATCAGAACTCTGTCCCCGGGAACCCGCTCTGAGGAGAGATCTGGTTCTAACCCCAGGCAGACATAGAGGAAACCTTCCTTCTAGAGTCTAGACATCAGATTGGGCAGGGTTCGTTCTTCCCCGATCCCAGTGCACGATGGATAATGGGGATAGGACTGGCCTGACCAAGAGTAACCTGGTGTGTCACAATTATTATTATTTTTTTTTCTACTCCCAGTTTTACCCTTTGCCAGGTGAGTTGCCCAGAGGAGGGAGAGAATGCACGACGAACTACAAATGATAGCCAAAGTATGGTGGGCTTTCCTTATTGTATGCCTGGAAATACTTGCTTAGTGATGATTTGCAATTTGAATATACATTCGCTATATTGTCTCTATTGGAGGAAAGAATAACTGCCAACTATTAGTTCCTAATATTCAACATACACCTAATTTTCACTTGTTTGAAAACTGCCTCTACTGCTTGCTGAACATTGGCCTTTTAAGTATGAAATTTATTATTTTAAATAAATACATTGTGTTAGAAATGTCTAAACCAGGAAATTACCAAGAAAAATTAAAATTGACCAAATAACTAGTAATATTATTTTAATGAGCTTCATTATTGTGCCATTATCAGATTATGTTTCATGCACCATTTGTGGCTTAAATTTTCACTAAAAATATCATAAATGTTCTGTTAGAAAATGGTTTTGCTAAGTTCCATCTTTAAAAGGCACATATTTCTTTGCATGAAAGAGCCAGAGTTTATACTTTTCTTCAGCTCATTTGTGTCAAGCTTTAAGTGTTAAAGATCTGTCAAGGGGCTGACACAGTTGCTCAGAGGTTAAGAACATTCCTTGCTCTTGCTGAGGACCTGGGTTTGATTCCCAACATCTACATAGTGGCTCACAACTGTAACTATTCCAGTACCAGGAGATCCGCCACCTGCCTCCAGCAGGCACCAGGCATGTACAGGGTGCACTATCTCACTACATGCATGGACATACAGGTAAAATATTTTTGTTTCTATTGATTCCCAAAGCTATGAGTTCCAACTTCCCATTGAGATGATCTGCTTACACCTGTTGTATATGCTATAAAGTAAGGATCAGTTCCCCCCACCTTATTTTCTCAAATCAGATAGTGGAAAATCCTTGGGCTCTCATTTAACCTGCAAATTCATCTAGTCATCTATCGTCTTTACATGCATGAGTATAATTCGGAGCTTGTTTTAGTTCATTGATCAAAGCACTGGGGATAGAGCTCAGTGACAAAGTGCTTGCCTAGCCTATCCAAGGCTCTGAGTTTGAGCTCCAGCGCTGAAAAGAAATGAGGTTGTTTTTGTTTTGTTTTGGGTTTGGGTTTGTTTGTTTGTTTTTTGGGTTTTTTGTTGTTGTTGGTGGTGGTGTATGTGTGGTGTGTGTGTGTGTGTGTGTGTATGTATGTGTGTTTGGTTTTTAAAGCAGGGTTTGTCTGTAGCTTTGGAGCCTGCCCTGGAACTAGCTCTCTAGAGCAGGCTGGACTCACAGAGATCCATCCGCCTCTGCCTCCCAAGTGCTAGGAGTAAAGGCATGCACCACCAATGACTGGCTTAAGAAATGAAGTTTTATGGTTTATTGCTTTCCATTCATATCAGTTTCATATTACTAATCACAACTTCTGATTCAATATAATCTAGTTTCAAGATTGCTTTGCGCTCAGGCTTGCTCCATACTTTAGAAGCTGACGTGTGCACTTTGGGAGGAAGATGTTCAATGTGATCTGTTCACTCTACTCTTCCTCCTACCCAATAGGTAGTTTCTGTAGAGACTGTTCGGTTAGAAGCATGGTTGTGAAGAATATCCAGAAGACTTTCGTGAGAGATCTGTTGGTCTGTCCTTGAAAGCTATTCAGCAGTCCCTCCTCTCTCTGTGGGGTGTAGAGGTCTCCTGCTGGCCTGGTATCTTGCTGGCCTGGCCCAATGCTACCACCCTCTGCCCACCTGGCCAGCCATCTTTCCAGTCTCAAGAATTCTTAGTCTTCACAGTAACCAAGTCATTTGACTAAGTGGAGAGTTATGAGCCAGAATTAATTTCCCTTTATAGTAGCAGTAAAGGATTGATTTGTTTTCTTTTGAGTTCCAATCCTGCTATTAAGGAGTCAGCTAGGCAGTGGTGACACATACCTTTAATCCCAGAACTCAAGAGGCAGGAGGATCCGTGTGAGTTTATGGCCAGCCTGGTTTATAGGACAGTCAGAGCTACATGGAGAAACCTGTCTCAAGCCCCCCCCCACTCCTCCCCCCACTTTGGTTCCTGAAAGTTTCTATATAGCTTGTGTTTTCTTCTTTGGAGCTTTAGATTTATTCACCCTCATTATAAAACTTTATTAAGAATAAACTATATTTTTAAAATCTATTATATTTTCCCTTTTCTTAAGGGAAAGTAAGAGAGAAGCAACTCACTGAGCTGGATGCTTTCTATTTCATATCATTGACAAAATGCAATTTATTGCCCATACATAGACACACCCCTTTGTTCACAGAAGACATGTCCTCTAGTAAACAATATGCCAGGGTTTCTCTGTATTGCTTTGGAGCCCGTCCTGGAACTAGTCCTGTAAACCAGGCTGGCCTCAAACTCACAGAGATCCTTCTGCCTCTGCCTCCTGAGTGTATTTTAAAGA